AGGTCTGTACTTGCTTTTACTACTCTTTTTTATGACCAGGTTGTCAGAATATAAAGAAAACTAGGAATGAACACAATTGGGAAATTCGTAGGACTTGGAAAACCTTCGCTAAAAAGGAGCATATTCAACCATTCGATGAACCTCGCCGTGTCTAGTCATATTATGGTGTGGTCTATAGAATAGATGCAAAAAATTAGAAAAGAAGTAGCGCATGCGCGAAAAAAATAATATTTGTGTGTGCAGCGCATGCGCTGCACACGGTCCCACACGGTGCTCAAGGTGTGATGCGCATGCGCTGCACAATGTCGTCAACGTGTTAAGCCTTCACCGTCCCACTCATGTCCAACTTCGCTGCTTCTGCCATTCAAAGATTAACACTCTGACGACAGCGCAGGACGCATTGGTCCCACATTTTGCAGGCCAGCTGGGACTCTGCGTATTGTTTGTGTTCTGCACTGATATTGTCCTTCTTACGCGCAGCTTTTCCCAGGTGTATTATATTTTTTCAACAGAACGTAATTAACTACAGACGGCGTAGTCTCTGGAACATTCAGATATGCATAGGTTCAACGATGGTTCCCTGAGCCAAACGTATTTCCAGTCCACATTATTTTTCACTTTCGTTTTGCTGACATGAATATTTGAATAAAAAGAGTAATAAAAGTCGGTACAAAGCTTTGGGGATGGAGAGGTATGTGCTTGGAACAACTTAACAAAAATGCTTGTGCAGTGGACAGAGTCAGTGTATCTTCTTTTCCTTTGCCTTTAAACGTCCTTGTGGGCAAAACTCCTCTACTATAGCCCTGAGAACTTTTTAGGTATTGAACCTACTATACTGATCATGAAAAATCTTCGTTTTCTGTATCCACCGCTCAAAATCCACGTACATCAGTTTTGAGTCATCAGTCGTGAAAACGCTAGCCAAATGGCGGCAGTCCCGCGCAACTAAAAGAACCAAAACGCATTTTGTTGCCAGTGCTCAAAAAAACGTTCACAAAAAGTTCTTGCATTCTTTCTCATTGTGAATGCGTCAGCTGTGATCACTGGAGAACAGCACACAAAGTTTCACGCATGAAGATTCGGTTTCCGAAGGAAACAAACCTACGAAAACTACACTCTAGCACCGTCGGGGTGTGTTGGGTGGAAGGGAACGCATTGAAAGAGGTGCGTCTTATGGTTAGGGTAACCACGTGTCAGGTGACGCTCGAGAGAGTTGAGTTAAAAGCTTCAAATTCGGTGAAAAGATAGAAAAGCAACGAATAAGTAGGACGCGGTAGAAAAGAGAAATGTTACTGTCATAGCTGGATAAGGCCAAAAGGGTTCCTAGGTGGGTTTTCGGGAACCAGGTGATTCCCATCGTCAACATATGTGGCAGATGTACGGCGAGAATTTGAGCGCATAACGCTCAACGGGGATTCCGACTTGTTTATCAAAACAGGCGCCTTGCTCTTCTGTTCTTATCGTGGATGATGGCCTTAAGCCAGTGAATTATGACTGAGATAGAATTGATTTTCCGTGGGCGATTCCTTTAAAACTAGAGGCAGAATTTACAATCGATGATGGAGAGGAAAGAAGGTGAGGAACGGCCCAGAACCCGAGAAATGGGACCCCTTCCTTGCCCGTTGATTTGCGCATTGATGCGACTCATCGCTGTGCCCTCTTCAACGCTCTCTCTGCTATCTAATCACTCGCCACGTATAGACCTGCGGCGAGTGATTAGATAGTCGGTGGGCGTACCCCGCCAACCGCGCCAAGAGTGAGCCATGCTAGATCGCCGAGGTCAAATCTTTCGCTGCCAATTGCGCGTCAGTCCGCACCCTCAGGAGGTCCGCCTGTCTCCCACTAGGCAATTTTCCCCTTCTTCGACCTTCGTTCTTATCGTGGAATCCTCCTTTAAGACCAAACGTCAGAGGTAG